CTGGACTGTTCCAGATGCCTCTCGCAACCCTCTCTAATATCTACAATAAAACCGCCCCTTAACCATACAGTTTATACAGCAGTTATAAATGCCCCATGCTAATATTCTGGAACATATGTGTGACACTATTTCACTCTTAATGGCATTCCTTTTGGAAGAACACAGCACCAATGGGTAGCATCCAGACCTCCCAAGATAGTCATTTCAGTGAAAAAGATAGTCTCCAATTACTGTTCTCTCTGCACGTAAGAGCAGGGAGAATGCCCTTTATTAAAGGAGGACCCAGTTTCTATCATTGGAACCAACTGTAGATTAAGATGCTGGTTCCTTCCTCAGCCTCCTTGGCCTCAATATTATTACTATTGCTATTGTTAACATTTAGAAAACCAAGGTTGTGAATCTTTTAGCAAAGGCAGTTGAGGTTCCCATATCTCCTTCTTGCATAATGAGTCCTGTCATTAAGGCAGCACCAGGGTGGGAGAGAGTGGCAGCTAGCCAGGATGGTCTGTAACGTTTTGATAAACAAACATCATATTTATCAGAGCAGCTCCCGTGTGTTTTCTTGTGTATGAGGGCAGGGAGTGCTCCCTGGGCCTGGATAGAGTTTTCTCTGTATGAGATAAATCTTTAGGGCCATTAAAGGGGGAAAAAATGTTTGTACTCTGCTCCCCAGTTACCTAGGCTAATTTACTGCACTAAGAGGTCTTGGAGCTGTTAATAATATACAAATACAAATCAAAGGAGAAATTGTCTCTGTTAATTGACTTCTGTGATGCTAATCTAAGGCTTTCCACGTGGCCCAGCTGCTCTTTGTTCCACACTGACACGTCAGAGAAAGCCAAAAGGCTTGGGAGTTGGGGCTTGAAATTACTGCTGGGGCTTTTAAGACACACCCCATCTTCCCTCATCTCTCTTTATGAATCTGGAGACAACAGAATAGAGAGACAGGGAGAGACTCGACCGTAGCAGAATAATCCAAATATGCTCTCAGGGAAGGCCCTGCTTGGGGATGCCAGGCTTCTTGCCCCAAACTGAAGGCTATGGTGAGACTGGTTAAAAACAATACCATTAGAGTCTGTACTGGGTCCAGTTAGAAGCTAGACTCACTCATCTTAAGAAAGAAAACATGTATTCTAGCAAGGTGGGACACCCTTTTCTTTTCTGTACTCTGAAGGCAGAGGCAGAAGATCTCTGTGAGTTCCAGGCCAACTTCTCTCACAGAACAAGTTCCAGGTCAGTCAGGGCTCCATAGAGAAAGCCTTTCTCAACAAACAAGCAAACAGACAAAAAGCAAATACACCCCATAAACACTGTTCACCGATACCCCTGCAGGCAACTCTGCCTGTTCTCTGTGATCTCTGCCCACAGAGAAGGCTCTGGACTGCTGTCAGTTCAACAACAATGAAGTGAACGGTCAAGTTCAGAGATAAGGTTTCTTGGGCCAGCCTTGACTGTCAAATAGATTCGGCTTTGACTCTTAGCCATTCCCTCTTACCTGTAGCAACAAGTCTGGGACCTGAAGCTACACATTCATGACTGATCTGAACATCTACAACCTCTCAATTTTTTGGCCCAACCGTTTCTCCCTCCGACTATCCTTAGTTCACATGGATAACCTTGGACTCTTCCTTGAAGTTGCCAATCACAATCCTCACAGGGACTGTGCAGAGAGACAAAGGGTTGAGAGGTCCCCCACATTGCCTGTTCCAGTGTTTGTAGTATAAATATACGTGGTTAGGTCTTGAGAAATTCCTTCTCCCAAAGTCTGGCATGTAGACAGAAGTCAGCATTCCCTCAGGGACTTAAGAAGATAGTTCCTACTTGCTAAGAGGAGCCATTTTCATGCTGGCAAAGGGACCTATAGCTCTTCCATTAGCCTATGCCTGTGGTGCCTATTAGCATCTCAAGATCTGTGCTAGCCTCTAGGCTCCCCACTCCCTACTTACCCTTTTCTTGGACAGCACACCCCATCCCCCACCGTAAACCTTCCCACCCCCTGAGCTTCACTTCCATGCCCCTAGCTATTCTGACTTCTAAACAGCTCTGTCATTTTGGTTATGCACCCTCTTGGGTCTCTTGGTTTCCATATGCTCTCTGTCTCCCCACCCCCATGGCCCAATTCAGGCAGGACTCCTCCAGATGCCTCTAGCTGTGCTCTCTCTCTTACCTACAATAACAACTTTCTCCTCAACCTTCTTCTTGAGTGATTATGTCCTCCTTGTCATTTATCACTGACATCCCATTGTTTGAATTTTTTGTTCTTCCCAAAGTGTTTCTTTCCCTTCCCCAGCCTCCTTTCCCTTTCTTGTCTCTTCAGTGACTGGAGATCAAACTCAGGGCCTCAGGCACACTAGACCAGTGTTCTACCTTTGAGCTACAGTCTCAGCCCCCAAGGTTCTCCTTGACTGAGTTTCCTCTGGGACTTGGCCCTTTGAAGTCTCCTTCCTTCCTTCTTTCCTTTCTGTCTGAGAAGAATAAGAGAAGTCAGGCCTGTGGTCCACACCTAGAATTCTAGCACTTCAGGAATCAAGGTCACGGCCCAACCTCAGCTACAAGGCCAGCTTGGGCTCTCTGAAACCCTGTCTCAATAAATAAATAAGTAGATAAATAAATAGAGCAAGAGAAGAAAAGCCTGGGCCCAGAGGGTGAAGCTCAAGATTTATTTATCTCTTGTGTGAACCGGAGGTGAAGGTTCCTACCTGAGAAGGTGAGAGGAGACTAGATGGGAGGTCAGGAAATACAAATTCTAAAGTAATGTTTTCCACTATGGTTTGTGAACTCAGCTTCCTGAGTTGTCGCCACCCGTGTTCAGATGAAACAGAATGGAAAAGCCCGACATCCATTGCGTGTCGCAGGAGCGCTGATCTGCCACTCTCTTCTGTGTGACACACACACACACACACACACACACACACACACACACACACACACACGTCTGCAGTCTCAAACAACCTTCTACATAGAAAATGTCCCAGCAGTCTTTCTCTAGGAGTTGATAGGTTAAAGTGTTCATCGTTAGCATTTCTTTTCAGTTTTGAGGTTGGGATCTCTGAGAGACTTAGTAAGGCCCCCAAATTCTGATTCTAAAGAGATCGGGGCCTCAGGTGGGTGGGGGCAGAGACACCATACCAAGGACAGCCTGGGAACTAACACGAACATTTTTGTTTGACTCATATAACACTTCGAAAAACCTTTTAGATAAATTTTGTCATTTTTAAAATGAGAAATCTGTATGGGGGGGATAAATCTAGATTTTTCAACTTCTTTCCAGGATTTGGAGATTCTGACCATACAAGGTGGCTGTTGACAGCCTCAAGTTGTCCTGTATCCTCCCTTGGTTCTGGAAGTCACTGAGACTCAGGTGCCACCCACTCATGACCCAGAGTCCTTCCTCACCAGACACTTCTCTCTTGCTTCAAGGAGCTACAAAGACAGACTGTCCTCAAGAGTTCCTTTGATATAAGCACTCATTTGTCAGGAGAGACAGGAGGCCAAGGTCACAGGGGTCACCAGTGCTGCAGGTGAGGAAAGAGCCTTGGTCTGTAGAATGGGACCCCTGCTCCAACACCAGTCCTGGGAGAAAGTCTTCGGTTTACTTGAAAGGTCACTACTAGCCCTAACTTTTCCCCTCTGGTCTCAGGCAGGGCAGACGTTTTCTTGGCCAAAGTGAAAAATTCCATCCTGAGTGGTTCCCAATTGTCTTGCAGAGTATTAAGTTGTATCTATTCTCTGTGATTTTTCCTGTGTAGTTGCCTGCCCAGAGCAGCTTCTATGGGAAGAAGACACTGGGCCAAAGGGTCTCGCTGAAGTGGGCATTTAGAAAAGACGCTTATCGCCACCAGGTGGTGGTGGTACACAATTTCAGGCAAAGGCAGGTGAATCTCTGTGAGTTCGAGGTCAGCCTGGTCTACAAAGCAAGTTCCAAGACAGCCAAGGCTGTTGCTCAGAGAAAAAACACTATCTAGAGAAAAAAAAAAACCCTAAAAAGCAATTATGTTTGTTTCTACAATAGTTGGAATTTAGAGGAAAATAGCTTGGGATACATTTTGGGTCTAGAATGATCACAGCATCAGTAGCACGGCGTGTATGCCACATTTTGACTGTTCCAGACAGAAGGTGTGGGTAGCTCTGGTGGTGCTTTTCCCAGTGTGGTAGGGAGCCAGCTGGGAGCCAGGGGCCAGACTGACGCTTTTGTTTTGTTTTGTTTTGTTTTGTTTTAATTATAAAATTGTTGTGTGGTATTTTGTTTGTGTTCTGAGGTCAGAGCTTGCTTGGAGTCAGAGGTCAGAGCAGAGCTAGCCACTAGAGGACTGCAGAGGTCTGGAGGTCCGCACAGAGAGGAGACAAGAAGAGACAGGGTCTCTGAACTGGAGGGGCAGGAAACAACAGGCAGCTGCTCCCTGTTCTCGGATCTTCCAGATTTTCACCCTGATATCTGACTCCTGATTTTTATTGATAAAGATTAATTAGGTGAATGCTTCATAGAGCAAACAAATCTTTGCATAGGACTGGGGATACAGCTCAGTTTGTTAAGTGCTTACCCAGCGTTCATACTGCATGAAATGGACACAGTGGTCACACTGTAATCCTGGCACTTAGGGATAGAGGCAGGAAGGTCAGAAGTTCAGGGTCATCTTTGACTACTTAAAGAGCTCAAGGGTCAGAGCCGGTGTCTTAATCATTTTTCTATTCCTGTGATGAGATACCAGGACCAAGGGAGCTTAAAGAAGGAACACTTGTTGGGCTTTTGTTACACCCAGATGGTGGGGCCCCCTAAAACCACCACCATGTCTGCGCTCGCATGAATAAGTATACAGCCTTTATTTGAGCTTAAGCTTGAACTCTCCGTCTGTCTGACACAGCACTTGAGAGCAGAGAGTGCCCAGCCCAGTTGGGACAGGGTTTTTATTATAGTAGAGGTTGGGGTGAGGGGATTTCCAGGGTTTAAGACCCTGATTGGCTGACATTTGTCTAGGGGGTTTGGCAAAAGGGGAGTAGGTGAGTCCTGAGCTCAGGATGTCAGGTGAGCTTATCTAATCTTATGTAATGATTGGGCTGCCAGGTCCTGCCCAGATGCTGGCCCTGCCTGGGTGGTGTCAGTTTATGGCTTTTCCTGGAACCCAGTGCTGCCTGCCATGCAGCTGTGTGGTTTGCACCCCATTATGTGTGGCCAGGCTGCCCGGAGCCCCAGAGTTTACAGCTTCAGAGTATGAGTTCACCCCATCAAGGCAAGGAGCAGAGCAGCAAGGAGGCCAGCATGGTCTGAGAGCTTCCATCCTGATTCACAAGCACAAGGTAAGACAGCTAGTTAGGAAAATCAATGCCATGGGCTTTTGAAACATCAAAGTCCACCCCCCGCGGTGCCCCCCTCTCCCCCATAACATACTTCCTCCAGCAAGATTTCACTTCCTAATCCTTCCTGTAAACCTCCGCACTTTCTGTGGATACCCAGGCCTAATCCAGGAGCGGGCTTTCCTGAACCAGGGCCACGAGAATGGACGATTGTCCTAAGGGTTTAAATAGACAAACACAAGAGACCTGCTCGCTTGCCAAAGAGCAAAAAAGCCCCTTATTAAACTCAGGTCGGGTATTTATACCAGGAGGCAAGAGGGTTCAAAAGGGCATGGCCCCCTCCCATCAGGAGCAGTAGAATAGATTGATACATTCCCAGCGCCTCAGGCAGAATCAGCTGGGGGGGGGGGTGGCAGGCGTGGGAGGTGTGTAGGGCCCGCAGCAGCTGCAACCTTGTTTACAGGTGGAATTACCATAACAAAGACAGCCAAGTTCTTTCTAAGCTACCCTCAAGCCAGGGCTAGTGCAGAATCTCCAGGGGCCAGAGGTCAAACAGCCCTGCAAAATGCCATGGAAGAAAAGGGGAAAAGACCTGGGTACCTACACCTTCCCAAACAGCTCTATCAGCTGAGGCCCAGACATTCAAATTTATGAGCCTATGGGGGCTTTTTCCATTCGAACCACTACAGTGGTCTACTAAGACCTTATTGTTATTCTTTTTTTTTTTAAGATATATGTGGTAGGGGACGAGTCCAAGGAGGGGCAATGGTCCCCTCCCCACCAGGGGCAGTGATCTGTCAAGGAGCCAAGGTGGGTCACCCAAGGCATTGGTGGGTCACTTGAGGCATTGGTGGGCCCCTTGGCAGGTGGGAGACCACAGTGGGTGAGAGACAGACACAGATACACCATGCGGAATGAGTTTGGATATAGAGTTTATTTAGTGGTTTATAGAGGAGAAAGGGAAGGGGGAAGAAGGGAAGGGGAGAAGGGAAAAGGGGGAAGAAGAGAAAGAGGGAGAGAGAGAGAGAGAGAGAGAGAGCGAGAGAGAGAGAGAGGAAGAGAGGCGGAATTTACCTCTTCAGAAGAGGGAAAGCTGGAGGAGGTGGGAGATCTTCTTGATTCAGTGAAGTTTGGGGAGTGGGCAGGGCTTATCTCTTAAAGGGACAGGGTACCCAGGTGACAGGCCAGGCCAGAAGATTGTAACACCTACCTCAAAAACAAACAAACCAACTGGGCAGTGGTGGCACACACCTTTAATCCCAGCACTTGGGAGGCAGAGACGGGCAGATCTTTGGGAGTTCAAGGCCAGCCTGGTCTACAAGAGCTAGTTCCAGGACAGGCTACAAAGCTACAGAGAAACTCTGCCTCCAAAACAAAACAAAAACCAACAAAAACACTTACACATAATGAAAATGGTCAAATGAGGTAGAAAAGGCAGAAGGAACCTTCACATGTCTATCACTCACGCCTGCCAGTCACCCACCCTTTATGGTGGTCCATTCTTCCCTCCCTTGTACGTAATCTATATACAGTGAAATGTGCCAAGCTGAGTGGACCAGATTGATGACTTCTAAAAATATTTATTACATCAAAATAATTTAAAATTTAGAAGCTAAAAAAGATGCAGAGAATTCTCATATCTTTTAGACTAAAATTCCCCCAATGTAAACATTTTTAACTACACCTGTTTTCTCATTTTGTAGACATGAAATTGTTAACATTGTTTCTAAATACACAGAGCTATTATTATTCTGGGCCCTTTAGTAGGTCTATGGCCATGTTGTCATTCAAATTGACTTGAGTCGTAGAACACCTTCCATAGTCTAGAAAGTTCCTGGTGCTGTTTGCCAAAGGCAGTCAGTGTTCTTACTTATTTTTATCACTATAGATTAGTCTTGCTTGTTCCTGAACTAGATGTAAACGAATCATCCCTCACTTTATTTTTGCTGAATTATTTTAAAATAATCCCCAGATTTTCGGTTCTATCATCTCTGTGTACCCTGCATTTCTAAAAGGTACGGGCATTTTCTTACATAATCATCATTCTGTTGTGATTGTGTAAAATGTTTTCCTAACAGGCTCCTTCCCTGTTACAGATGAACTCAACAGTTTAAGCAAGCGGAACTCCTTGCCTAAGGTCACCCAGGAAGTGTCTGGAGAGAGCAGGCAAGTCCTCCCTCTGAGCCTGCAGAGCCTGTGTTCTGTTTACTGTCTGTGGGGGTTCTCTATTCAGGCTCCCAACAGGGCTGGGCTGCAGAGGAATAGGAAAGGCCCCATCTGGTCCAACCTTTGTCTACTGCACCCCATGGAGCACCCTGGCTCTGTACTGCTCAGTTAAACCAGTGTTTTGGATGGATGTTTCCTGGTGCTTCCAGATTGCCTTTCTACAGACAGGAGTAAGGCCATCCTCAACCCCCAGTGGCCGAGAAGATGGGGACTTGCAGACTAGTGTTTTGAAGGCTGCTGGGCACTTCACATTCAGCGTGATCTAGACTTCAGAAGCCTGCGGAGACAATGCATTTGAGTGCAGAGCCGAGAGACGCCATTAATATTTCAGAACATGTTTGCGGATGGGTTCTAATAATACACAAGTCCATATCTGAACAAAAAAGAGAGGGAAGTAAAACCCCCAACCAAGCTGCTCCTGTGGGAGATGGGAAGAAACAAACTTAAAAGAGTGGATTGCTCCTTGGAAGCCCATCATTGAACTCCCCAGGAACAGATAACTTTCAAGGCTCTGATCAAGCCCTTCTATTATGCTTCTATTTAAGCATTGCAAGGGCCGTGCAGCCACTAGGCAATTCCAAGACTTAAATGTAGTTGCAAATCAAACCATGTACCTGCTAGAGGACTGTGAGGATGTCTTTGTGACTTGTTCCTAAAATAGCACTGGACAGGGATGTTTGGAAGGAAACAGATTTTCAGTAAAATATTTCCTAATGACTTACAAATAACTTTTCTGTTCTGCCTGTGATGGGTTGGCTACCAGGATTTCAAGCTGCGTCTCTTTCTAGACAAAGAGACAAAGGGAGGACCTTTGTCTGGGGAGATGGTTTAAATGGTTCAGATGGTCCTTTGTAAGCACAAGGGTTTGAGTTTGATCCCTAGAATTCACGTTCAGTCTAAGGTGTGGTAAGGGGCGTTTGCAATCCCAGTACCAGGGAGGCAGAGACCCCCTGGGGTTTACTAGCCCGATGTCCTAGCTTAGCCTAGTGAACAAGAATCAGGCCTATTACAGGTCTTGTCTGAAGGAAAAAAACAACAACTGGACAGCACCTGAAGAGGGGTCCTGAAGGTTGACCTCTGACCTCCACATGCATGCACCTGCACCCGTGTGCATACATGTCCACCTCCCCTCTCTGCGTGCACAAACAGGACTTGTGAGGACGAGCCGGGGTGGGACCGGGGAGACTGAAGGGGAACAGCTGAGGCTCCAGTCCTTAAGACACAGATTTCATTTCACCCTATTCCCCCTTATTAGGAGGAAACTGTTCCCCACACTCTGCAAATGGGAAGCCTGAATCATTTCTCCAGGTCACCAGGCAGAGGCAGAGCTCTGTCTCGAACCCTTCTCTCTACCTGGGTGCTGTTGACCTGTATCCCAGTTTCTTAGCTGTGGCTCAGCGGCCACAACACCAAAGAGACAGAAGGTACCGCCGGCTCCTCAGGAAGAACTTACCATCCCCCGTAGAACGATGGCATTCCGAGACACAGGGGCCCAGAGAACTGGAGAGAGGCTTTTTATTGTATTTCATTTCACAAACACAGTGAAAACAAATCCTGCTAATAGGATTGCGGACTCTGCAGGCCCGGGCAAGTAATTCTAAGGAAAGAGGAAGCGTCTTGGCACACCTGGGGATTGATTGCCAGTCTGAGACAATAACAGGCACCCAGAAATTAATCAGGAGAGCTGCCTGCCACTAAAGAGAGGGGTGGAGGCGGGGTATGAGACTTCTGGTTTGGAGACTAATTCTCTTGCTGTCCCATGGCTCCCAAGAAGGAGGAAATTTCTAGGCTGGTGCTCTCCATGATTCTCATCCTCACCAGACCTTCCCCAAGGACAGCAAAGGAGGGGCTTCACGATACACTGTGGCCCCCTGACTTTCCCTGTGTGACTCCCCGAGGATGCACTGTGTCTCCTGGACAGAAAGAGATCTCTCTTTCTAATCTTGGCCTGGTCGGCCACCAGCAGCTCAATAGGACCAGCTTTAATATTGCTATCTGGATGTTCTGGTCAGTTTGTCACCCTGGGCTTTGAGTCTTTCACTTCCGCCACAGCCTATTGTGGTAGGGAAACTGGGAATGAGCAAGCTGGGGACCCATGGGGCTTGCTAGATGCTCTGAGGAAAGAGGTGGTTTAGGCCGCCTGTGTGGCCCACCAGCACTGGATCTTTTGGGTCCCCGCATTTCTAGCAAAGGGAGCTATTACAGGAAGCCCACCAGAGAGACCACTCAGGTGCAGCTGATACCCACCTGAAAGGCTTTATTCTACCTGGCTGGGACTATACTCAGGTATTTGGGGCCAAGTGTATGTAGTGTTTGGGGTCAGGGGTTTTTAAAGACAAAAGCCCCATCTTGGTATCTCACTCGGCAGCTGCAGAGGGAGGTTTTACACAAACAAGCTGTTTAGCAGAAGTTACGTTAACTGTGGCATCTTGACCTCGAGTTCCTAGAACAGAGTTGGGTAATTTTTCATGTAATTCTCCATCAAGGAGAGTGGATTCTAGTTAAACCAAAATGGCCTCATCAAGACTACAAGATGGAGGAATCTCTTCACCATCTTGCCCTGTCCCAGATCCACGGATACAAAATCCTTGGGAGACATCCAGATCACCATGAGCTGACCTTTGACTTTCCAACCTAAGTTAAGAGTAAGTTTTCTGGAATATTCCATGCCCATACAAATTTTTCTCTTGCCTGTCCTTTTTTTGAGTAATTACTGTAAGCCTTAGCTCTCCCATTCCCTCCCTGCTCTGGGGAGGCCTTCTCTGGTTTCATCCCCACGTCCTTCCTTGTCTGCCCTACGGAATCCAGGTACATATCACTCATCTATTGGCATCTACTTTAAACTATTTTATTTATTTATTTACTTTTATGTGTGTGGATGTTTCATTTGCATACATATCTGTGCACCATATGAGTACCTGGTGTATAAAGAGGCCGGAAGAAGGTGTTGGATCTCCCGGAACTGGAGTTACAGACAGTTGTTAGCTGCCATGTGGTGCTAGAATTCAAACCCTCCAGAAGAGCAGCCAGTATTCTTAGCCCCGGAGCCATTATCCAGCCCCAGGCATCTGCTTTTTAATCTATACCAGTGCTATGAACCACAGAAAGCAAGGCCCAATGTGAGGAGCTTGGGATGTGGGCAGTTCTCAGGAGTGGTGAGTGCTGGGTCCATTTCTCACCCTGGTATCCTGTCACAGAGGCGCCAGTATGAGTTACAGTCTTTGATTGGTCAGCATGGCCTCTCTGAGCCCGAGACAATCAAGGAGAACAATTGGTTTCATTTGTTTTCAGTTTAAGACCCCAACAGTGACTTCTGTGTGCTGCCCTGTTGGTGGTAAGCCACCACTGCTTTATTAGGCATTGGTCCTGTCTCTGTTCCCCAGAGCCAAAGACAGAAATAAAGGTAGAGCCCAAACCTTTCACAAGGTCCATCCCAAGCCAATGGACTGGGATGTGGAGAACTGGGTTCCTCCAGGAGAGGTGGATAGTAATGCCTCTGCAGAAGAGATGGCTTTTGCACATGCAAAAGTCTCCTTCTGCTACTGAGAGGCCCCACGCTCTGGGCTCACAAGGGCACGACTTGGTGGCATGGAGTTCAGAGGCTTGAACTTTGCTCAGGGTGTGTTTGTGGTCCTGATGTTTCCTCCTATAGATCATTGTGCAACCAACCTGGCAAGTTTGTTCTCTGGGCCAACCGTCTGGGGGTAAGGAGAGCAGCGATAGGCTCGTCTCCAGGTCAGTACTGGAGCTGCAGAGAGGCCACCACCCGGAAACTGAGAACAGGAACTTGAGAGGGTAGTTGGTCTGTTTCTGCTTCACCACACAATGCTCTCAAGCTCATTTATTTGTTTCCATTTGTGAAGAGTGAGAACCTCTTAGCATTGTGAAAGTAATTGAACATGGCAATCAGAATGAGCAGGTGCCAAACTGCAGGGATTCTGATGTCTAGATTACAACACCTGCCCTTTTCTCTTAGGGGGCTCAGACACCCAAGAGCAGAGCTCAGGCCGGGACATGTGACCCCCATATACTCACAACACACTAATGCTTCTGCACGGCTCACGGGTAGGTGCCTAATTAGAGTGGAACCGATCAGAGTTTTTCCCTATTGAGTTCTCATGTTGGACCTTCTGGAGGTAAGAGAAGCAGGGATGTGAGTTAGAAGCCATGGCTTGGCGTGTTCTCAACTGTATCGGGGAAGTCTTCAGGCAGACTCTCATCTGCTTCTCTGACCCAGCTGCCTTCATCTTTTCGTGTTTTGGGGAGACGCCGTTGGTCCGAGCTTGTTTAAACTGAACTTCTGTTACTTCAGACCAATGTATGCTATGTTAGTCATCTTTCTGCTGTCATGACAAGACACCCCGGAAGGTCAACCTGTAGGAGAAAATGCCTGGTTTGTCTCAGGGTTGTAGAGGTTTTAGTCTATGGTCCCTTGACCCCATTGTTATGGGCCTGGATTGATACGGGAGAATTGTCTGTATTCTGTCAATCATTTTAATAAAACGCTGATTGGCCAGGCAGGCAGTATAGGCGGGAAAGCCAGACAGGAAGTAGGGGTGGAGCAAAAAGACTGGGAGTATTCTGGAAGCAGAGCTCCCTCAGGACTCCTGCGCAGACCACCGAAGAGGCAGCATGTAACTTGCCCAGCTGAGAAAGGTACGGAGCCAATGTGGCTAACATAGATAAAGATAATGGGGTAATATAAGTTATAAGAGTTAACAAGAAGCCTGACCTAATGGGCCAATTAGTTTATAATCTTATGGAGTACTGTGTATGATTTTCCTTGGGACTTGCCGGCTTGTTGGGGTACTGGGCGGGACAGAAACCCCAACAAACCGGCCCCTCATGTTACACTGGATGAGGCAGAAACATAGTAAGGAAGGGAGGGAGGGAGAGAGAGAGGGGGAGATGGAGAGGGAGGGAGAGAGAGGGAGGGGATGGAGAGAGGGAGAGGGGAGGAGAGGGAGGGAGAGAGGAGAGAGAGAGAGAGAGAGAGAGAGAGAGAGAGAGAGAGAACAAACTAGGGTCCCAATCTCCTGGGGGCATGCCCCATGATTCATCCTACCCACCTCCAGATTCCGCTTCCAGTAGCACCACCAGATGGGAACCAAGCTTTCAACACATGAACTTTTGGGATGGGGATTTAAGATCCAACCACAGGGGCTGGAGACATGACTCAATGTTTAAGAGCCATCGGCGGCTCTTCCGGAGGACCCAGGTTTGATTCCTGGCACCTACATGGTGACTCAAACCGTCTGTGACTCCGCTTTCAGGGGATCCAACGTTCTCTTGCCTTTTTCACAGGCACCAGGCACGCATGCAGGCGAAACACCCATGCACATTAAACAGCAGCAACCACACCGTGCGGGGCTGGCTCACAGAAACAAAACCTTGCTAAGCACTTGGGAGACCAAGAGCCATTGGCCTTCAGTCCCACTACCTGCCCCTGGACCTTAAGAGAGACCTTGCTTCTGAAGAAAATGGTTGCAGGGGGCTCGGCCTCTTTGAACCGTACGCATTTAGATTCCATGAAGCTCACAGGAAGCAAATGCACAAAGTACAACTTGAGGATATTTCATAACCGCCTTGTTCTGAAAACCTCCTTGTTGCAGCCTTTGCTTTGCTGCCTCCGTCTGACTTTGACATGCCTGTCTGGCTTGGGGAACACTAGACTGGTGTAGAGGAGCACTAGGCTTAACTTGGGGAGCACTGAGTTGAGATTGAGGAGCACTGGACTGGGAGTCCTGTTCTTGTCCCTTTCTGGTCCCATGACGTCAGGTAAATCTCCGAGCCTTTCTGGGAGTTTGTTTCCTCATCTATAAAGTGAGGAGAATGCTAATACGTGACTCATGAGTTTATTGGGAACAAAGCTCTAAATTGCAGTGTCGGGACAGCGGCAGAGTGAAAGCAGACCACGTGATCTGACAGCTCTTCAATCACTGGATTGTGTTCAGTGCCGTTTAATAAGTATTACTGAGGGGTCACCACATGCCGGCTCTGTTTGGGGATCCTGCAATGAGCAGGACAGATAAGAGTTGTCCTAAGCAATCAATGTGACTGTGGGGACAGCAGAACGCCAACAAGTACTTCAAGAATTAAGCAGTTTAGAAAACCTTGAATGGAGAGAGTACCAACTACAACAACAACAAAATCTGGGACAGGGAGTGGTGTGTGTGCTTGAAATGGGAACATGCTTACAAAATGTGAGGCTCTTGGTGTCCATAAATATAAGCCCAGAAACTGGATGTGTTATTTGTCATCTTGCCAAGCCCCAAGACTCACAAGACCTCTTAGCACCCCTTTTCCAGCTCCCTTTTGTCCTGCCCCACCCATTGTCAGCATCTTATCCCTGCGGCCTGTGCTGTGCAGCACTTCACAGTTTACAACACCCTTTCTGTGCACCCTCATCTGTTATTCCCACAGCCTGAGACCAGCGGGGCAGGTGCCCTGTCTCAGAAGGAAAACGTGAGAGATTTGTAAGGCACAGTTCTTACCCCACATCCTGAATAAAGGTTTTTAACTCCAAGTTAAGTGTGTCTCCCAAAGGGCTACATAACTGGTTTTATTTTGTTCTTTATGAGCTTATTCCCTTGTTAGCAATGGCCCCGTACATCCCTGTGAATCTGAGGTCAGTGTTCTAATGACCGTTGGTATCTTGTAAACTGTCAGGACGCAAACCTGAGCTCGTTGGCCTTGGGCCACAGGCGTGCAAGCTCTCCAAAGGAAGCAGCACTAGTGGCTCACCCACCGCTCCTTCCGTATCTGAACACTCGCAGGTCCTGGAAGGGAGATGCAGCTTCCAGCAGATAGCTCTCCATGACCACTGGATGTCAGCACTGCTCTGTGCTTGATAACCGAACCTCTCGGTGGGATGGGCAGAGTTCACTGTATCCGGGTTCCCAGTGGAGCTGAGAGAAGCCTTGACCATAGGCAAAGTGCACATCAGTTACATATTCTAAATAACCGCTGTGTTTCCCTGCCCCCCTCTCTCCTCTGGTTCTCTGGACTCCATCTTTAGCAGTGCATGCTAGGATGTGAGTGTGAAGTGTCACCCACAGGCCTTCTGTTGGATGCTTGGTCCTCAGATTGTGATGCTAGGAGTTTGCAGAAACTTGAGGAGTTGAGCCCGGCTGTCAGAAGTAGGTCACTGGGATTTTGAAGGTTATTCTGGATTTGGCTATTTCCTCTTTCTCCATCTGCTGTCTTCTAGGAGGGGGAGGATCTCCTCCGCCACATTCTTCCGCTGACATGGTGTTTCTGCCCAAGCTCATGGAACTGTGCAACCAGGACTGTGAACTAGGAGGATTTCCCAGGACCCTCCTGCCTTTCCTCATGTAGTCAGGAGAGTCTACACTTAGTCAGATATCTCCAGACTGGCATATGAGCCTTGCCTTTCCATGCCTTTTCTTTTGGAAGCTTTTTTGACTTATGGAAGCTTCCCAGATCAACAGTGTGGTTATGTACAACATACCACATTCTCATCAGCTGAGACGAAGCAGTATGGTCTATGACTGGTGGAGGCTCACTTGGTGAATTCTGAGTTAGCCGTTCTAGGACCTGGAAAGGTCCACAGAGTGGATCTGTATGGATTCATCAAACTGCTAGTGGATCAGGTGGGGGACTCCCAGGTGAGAGATGACCATCTGTTCTTCTAGCTGGTGATAGGTAGAAAGCCCTCATTTCCTCTTCTGTTAACTGTGGAGACAGATCCTGGGGGCTTTCATGGCTACTCTTCTTCAATGCACTTTGTTTTTCTGCTAGGTTAGGCCTGAACAGCCACATTATTTGACTTTACTCATGATGAGGGTGGTGACAGAGCCTTGGCTTCCCTGGACAGTGGGTCAGAGAGGTTAAGTCTTAGGGTAAAGACATGGACACATTTATAGAGAGGTTGGGCAATCTTCCAAATTCACAGCCATCTTCAGGTAAATGCTTGGGTCCTGACAAAAGAATTTCACAGGAACAGAAGTATGATAGCAATTATGTGGATGACTGAGAGATCAGAGGGAGACATAGGAATGAGGCCAACAAGTTGAGAAAGACAAGTAATAGCATAATTCCTCAGTATGTGTGAGAGAGGGGGAGGAGAGGGGGAGGAGGAGGGGGAGAGAGAGGGGGTGAGGAAGGGAGAGGGACAGGGAGAGTGAGAGGCAGAAGGAGGGGAAAAGAGGGGGGAGAGTAGGGAGAGAGGGAGTAAGAGAGAGGGGGAGGGAGTGAGAGAAGTTATTACATTGTTACTGCAGTGATAAGGACATCACCTAGCCTACTGGCTTTCTTTCTGGCCCCTAACTGTCCCTGTCATCCTTTCTACTCAGACCTATTGGCTTAAAACCCCATTTCCACCTCTTCCAAGTCAAGCTTTGAAGTCAAGCCTTCTACCTGCGGAGACTTCCACTGCCCTTACCTGGCTGCAGCCTCCGGCCCCCAGCCCCTTGCTGTTTTGTTTCCCACACAGACTCATACAGTTTTACAAGAACCTGCAGTTCTTTCTGCTCAGATCCTGTCCCATCACCGAAGTCCCATTTGCTACACCTTTAACAAAGCCGCTTTGTTGAGATAGAGATCGCACATGGTACAACACATATATTCAAAATATAATATATGACAGGTATTAGTGTAACCCCAGGGTCAACCTTCACTATAGTCCATTTAGTTTAATTACTTATTTTCAAGGCAAGAATGTTTTATGTAGTCTGTGCTGCTGGCCTCCAACCTCTGAACCTCCTGCCTCAGCTTCCAGATAGTAGGAATTACGTGTGTACCACCACATCCTGATAAAAGGAATGGAAGCAATATAAATTAGGGACAGATGAACCAGATATCAACACTGGGATGTTAATATTAGAAAAGTATTTTCTAAATAAGTATTTCCAGTTACACAGAAAGGTCTAGAGAGAAATTTGCCAGTTATTCATGCCCCTACCATTCAAGTTGACCTAAAATTAAAGGAATCCTTGAAGCCTTTTGGGAATGTCCCATATCTGCTACTCTTATCACCATGACTAGGAGAGGAGTGTTGAGAAGGCACAGCCCACAGGGGTTGGGAAGGCAGACTTCATGGTGGCCAAGCATGAGGTCTGGGGTGGCCCACATCTCCAGGGACCAGGAAGCAGAAGGGGGATAGGAAATAGAGCCCTGGGACCCCCCAAGGCCTGCCTACTTGCTTCCGGGAGGCTCCTCCTCCTTGAGTCCCATACTCATTTTCAATAGCACCACCATCTGGGGACCACATGTACAGTGAGCCTGCAGGGGACAGTTCACATTCAAATCACAGTACATTCTCCTGCTTGCAAGGTGAATCATGACAGTGTTGCTCTTCCTGCCCAGGAACGTCTTGGTGCTGTCTCTATCTATACAAGTAAGAGAATCTTAGTAATACCTTCTGTGATGTTGTAAGAGTTCATGTCAATGAATGGACAAGATGGTTGAGCCTGTAATCCCAGCACAGAGGAGGTGGGGACATGAAGGCATTGTCTCAAGTCTGAGGCTAATCTAGGCTATATAGTGATGAGCTCTAGACCAGTTTGGGCTACAGAATGAGGCAGTTTCAAAAAGCAAAAAGGACCGGGTGGTGGTGGTGCACACCTTCTATCCCAGCACTCGGGAGGTGGAGGTAGGTGAATCTGTGTGAATTCGAGGCCAGTATGGTCTACAAAGCGAGTTCCAGGACAGCCAGGACTGTTATGCATAGAAAACCTGTCTTGAGAAACAGCAACAACAGAAGGCAAAAGGGAAGGAAGGAAGGAAAAAAGGAAGGAAGGAAGGAAGGAAGGAAGAAAAGAAGGAAGGAAGGAAAAAAGGAAGGAAGGAAGGAAGGAAGGAAAAAAGGAAGGAAGAAAGCAAGGAAGGAAAAAAGGAAGGAAAGAAGGAAGAAAGGAAGGAAGAAAGCAAGGAAGGAAAAAAGGAAGGAAAGAAGGAAGAAAGGAAGGAAGGAAGGAAGGAAGGAAGGAAGGAAGGAAGGAAGGAAGAAAGGAAGGAAGAAAGCAAGGAAGGAAGGAAGGAAGAAGCATTAGGTAGTGACAATGGATCTTTCTTCTCTTTTCTTCATTCAACACAATGATGGTAGAGTTGAGCTTCACCAGTGTTTTTAGCAGCCATGCTTCATTATTTCAGTGCGGCGTGAGGCTGAAAACCCTGCTTGCACAGTGTAAGAGGCTCAAGGCGAGAGACCCTTCTTAGCCGTCTCCATTTTTAGAGATACAGGATAACCTGGCAGTCAAAGTCAAGCGAGGCAGGTTCTGTGGTTTGGGGTCTTGGATTAGCTGCTGTTAGCTGAGAAACTTTAGGTCACTTACTTGACCTCATGCCTCTGTTTCCTTGTATGCTATGGCCTCATGCTTTCTTTGTAGAATTGTTTCAAAACCCTGAGTGTGGGGCTGAAGAGGTGGCTCAGTGTTGAAGAGCGCATGTGGCACAGTGGTAAGGACCCCAGCACGCAGGTAACAAGCAGGGAACCCACAGATACATCCGAGAGATGCATCCCTAGCTCCCTTTTTTGGCCTCTGTGTGCACCCCTTCCATGTGCACATGCTTACACAGACATGGACAGGCTGACTCACACACACACACACACACACACACACACACACACACAAAATCTTTTAAAAAATCCTCTGAGTGTGGTGGGTTACAATGCAGTCTTACTGAGGTTTGCCAAGCTGATGGCACAGAGTCCAGTTACGCCCAACAGAGCCTGGGCACTGCCATCCAGAGGAGGGCAGCTGTATAGCTCACTCACACTGGAGCAAACTGGAAGGCTGGCATTTGGAAAACTAATTGTCCTCTTGTTCTGTATCACACAGTGCTGCCATCTCCTGGCATGGCAGTGACCAGGAGCCTCCAGTGCATTTGACCTGATCATTTCCTCAAGGTCACCCTTGTTGTTACTCCCACGTCATAAACAAACACCCTCGGGGATGTTCAGGGACCTCTGACAACAGGTAGCTTCCAGCCACCTTTAACCCCGCACATCCCAAAACCCGAGGCCGTTAGCATCCTCTGGTCTCCTCAGCGCCTTCCAGTCTTTTCCAGCCTGATATATTTTTTTCTTGCTTGCAGGTAGGAGTGGAGTTCCAGGGTGTAGGAAGGACAAAAAGCAGTTCCTGGGATCACTTGCCTGTGGAACACGGTTGATGCTGGCCCAGAGTCAGAAGCAGAAGCCATTGTATGTGTTTCTGTCTTCCCTCTGTCGTTTTTTTCCCCTTCTCCTTTGGAGGCTTCCATTGAGTTGTGAAGCTGTATTTACCAGGGGTGGGGAGATGGCTTCTGTGTGAGCATCAGGATCTGAGTGTGAATCCCTAGCACTGATGCAAAAGCTCGGTGTGGTCTGTCACTCTAGTGCTGAGGAATCAGACAAGCCTCGCCAGAGCTCAGTGGCCATCTAGGGGTGGCCAATGTGCGAGCTCTGGGTTCAGTGAGTCTTCCTCCAAAACAAATAACATGAACAATAGCAGAAAACATCAGGTATCAACCTCTGTCTACCCACACATGTGCACACATGTGGAAGGCATCCATATATATACATGCACATGTATGCGCTATAACATACAGACATACACAGACACACAGACATATACAGACACACCGACACACAAACACACAGACATACACAGACACACATGCCCACACGCACAGATCCATTTCCCAGATTCTCTTAACGGTTGGATGGCAGGGAAACTGGACAGTAGGGAGGCTTGGGAGGGGTTGACATGCATCGAGGCAGATGATAGCAGCCCACTTCCAGCTGTACATGTTTTATCTTATCTCACCATGTAATTGGAGTTTTCATGAGGAAACCACGTCAAGGCAGACAGAGTCTCTCTTTTATGCGACACCACATGCCAACTCTTGCATGCAGCTACTTTCTTTTCAAACACTCCACAACAGCAGAACTCCCTGCCACAGCCACGGCCAGTTTCTGTTTCCATTATAAATTTGATTTTGCAGGACTGTGTCTGACCTGTCATCTTTATTAAAGCTTCAACTGTGTGCATGTACATGTTAAAGAAACCAAAAATCTAGGCTTTGGGAGGATGGTTTAATAATAGGGATTTAAGCAAAAAGAATGAGTTAGATACTTTCTTCATAACTGTGACAAAATACCAGATAAAACAGCTTAAAGAGAGGAAGGCTTGGCCTTAGCTTACAGGTTCACAGGCTTTGTCAGGGAAGCTACGGCAAAGGTTGATATGGGGAGCATGCGGCTGGGGTTCCTCACATCTTGGTGGCAGGCAAGGGGCAGAGAATGACAACCAGGACCAGAAAGAGGTGTAACCCTCAATGCTCTGCCAACTAGTGAGCTACTACTGCCAGCATGACCCATGCCCCAAACAGTGCTACCATCTGAGGACGGAGTGTTCAAACACGCGGAGTTTGTGCAATGCATTTCAAACACCCAACTGGCATCCCGTGTCTCTTGTCAACTTTGGTCAATTAGTAGCAGAAGACTAGAATGTTGAGTTGAGAAGGATTCTGAGAGTGAGTATAGCATTGGAGGGGAAGAGCTGGGATGGATTAGTGATGTCTATCACAGCCCTAAGCAGTTGATTAGTGATGTCTACCGCAGCCCTCTGTGTGGAAGGGGAGAGTGGCAAAAGAACCATTCCTGTATAAATTAGAGTAAGTTTCCTCCTAACACAGACCCCATCTCTTCATGGTATTTGATAGTTGTGAAAGCATTTTAATGAGATTATATTTTTCATTTAACTATTCTGCCAACTGGGTAAAAACAGTAGGACTAATACATTTTCCTATTAATGAATCTGTTTTATGTTTACTGAACAGTTCCTATACCAGGCTGTGGGAAACTCCCTAAGGATATAACTATAAGTTTCTTTCTTTTCTGTTTTCACATGCTGCTCCTTATGTGAGAAGAGTGGGCTGGTTCCTATCTCCTTCAACATGGTCCTTCTTAGTGAGTTGCTTGACCCACAGGATGCAACTGACTCAATGCCCAGGACCTTCCAGAAGGTCCCAAGCAGGCTCTCAGTTTCTGCCTGTTTCCCCTTGAAACCTTTGCATTCTGAGCTCTGATCTGCCACCCAGGAAACAGATACTCAGGAGAGATCATCTGGAGGAGACTTGAGGCTAGAGGAAGGGCAAAGCTGATTCCAGCCCCGTAGTTACCCCACTGAGGGGTCAGCTATGTCAGGAACCATCCTGGATCTTCTGTCTCAGCTTCTTCTCCAGCTGAACACCACCAAGTCACTGACAGTGTAAAGCATTCTAACTCCCCATGTAATCACCAAGGGGGAAAGCCTGATGTTGGAAATGACTAAGTTTTAGGGGGTGTCTGTCATGGTGCAATGTTATGTTGTGTAACCAGAACCCTGACATGGATTGTTGTAGGACTAAGTAAGACCCACTATTGACCCACACAGGGTATAGTCTTTTGGGAGAGATAGACACGTGAACCAATCAGCAAAAATGTGGTGGAACCAAACACTCCAGATTTAATGGTGAACCGAAGGGCAGGAGATGTCTCTACCATCAGGGTAGGGAAACAGACTAGCAGGGGCTAGTCTCTTTGTCCTTTGACCTCAATGATTTAGGACCCATTGCATGGAACACAAGTTTTTTTTGTTTTTTGTTTTTTTTTAAAAAAAGAGAAAATCTCAAAATTGGAGAGAAGGAACCCTTGCCTCAAGTCTCTATTAGGTATCCTGTCCATTATGGCTATGCCTGACAAGCCTGGCTAAGGCTAAGTACTTATGTTGAGCCAATCAAATTTTCCTCCAGCTGAACCAGGTTTCAGAGACTGGGTGTCATTGGGACCAAGTCAAGATGACAGGAGTCCTTCTGGTGCTGGATTTCTTAACCTTGGGCTTCGGCACCAAGGACATTTTGGGCTGGTCCATTCCTTGCTGGGATGGAAGGAGTGGTCCTGGGTGCTTTGGTCCTGGGTTTGTAGCATCTGTAGGGCTCCACCCAGTGAACGTTTGCAGCATCCAGCAACTATTCATGACAGAGGTCAGTGTTCCCTGTGTGGGGGTGGGGAATTGCCTCTCATTGAGAACCACTCCTCTAGAATGACAACCCCCAAATTCATTAGTGATCCTCTCTTGTCCTTATTGGAAAGAAGTAAGATTTTCTATCTAAGCTGTCCCAGAACCTCCAGTCATCTGAGCCAGTGTCCATATTCTAGACTATTTGGTACTGAAGGTTAGGCTGGAGCTGATTACATAGCTAGGGATAGGAAGAATTTGAGAAGTAAGAAGCATAGGTCCAGGAAACAATATCTCAGAAGCAACCGTGTGGCTGGAGCTTCATGCATAAGGTAAGGGTGGGCTTCAGGCTGCAAGGAACTTGCAGGTCATACTGAAATACGCAGGCCCGGGGACTGTGCTCCCCTGGGATGGATGGCAGCGTTTTCCACAGGACCAAATGTTTCTCACCTTCTTTCATCATCCTAGGGTGGAAGAAACATGGCTTTCTGGCTCTCCCCAGGGACTCTAAAGAATGAAATTCTAGAGAAGACTGATCCCTCTTGAGGCACTGATTGTTTCTGGAGTTTAACCCATAGACAATAGAAAACAAAGACTTGGGGGTGTGTTTTGATTTATGCGGGCTCTCTCACGAGGACAGTGGAGCTCTCTGGCTTGAGTGAGGTAGTTGACAGCTCAGCATCAATCACCCACTGTTCCTGTGTGAGGATGTGTGCGGGGTCCTGTAGGTCAGACTGCTTCAGGCCACAGGTGTGTTGTGAGGGACCTCTGCATGCTTGCAAGAGGTCAAGTGGAAACCCTTTTCCCTCCTTTTCAAACTTGGCTCCTCTCAGCTTCTAGTTCCGTGTTTCTTGCTACTGCGAAGAGAAAGAGTTTTCTCTTTGTCTCAAGTTGAAGTTCTTCTGCAGGAGGTGGTTAGGTTAGCTCAGATTCTGATTTAGGACAGAGTTTTGGGCCTTGAGTGTATAAACAGTGCCTTGAGGACTGTATCCATTTCCAGATGAGTGAGGGACAATGCAGGGTGAATCTTTGAGGAAAGAGGGTCTCAGAAGGTGCTTCCTAGCTGCCTCAGAAAGGGATGCCTGGTCCCAGTACAAATGTCGAAGTTAGAACTCTATCACGCTGCTGGTGACAATTACAAGCTGGTCTTTGGACCTGGGAGTCTAACTTCCAACCAGCTGGCCAAATCCAGTAGCCTTGGACTGGGCACACCCAGTGGAGGCCACTTCTGAGGAACCGGCTTCCAGGAACAAGTTCCCTTGGGAAACTCTGCAGGCAGCTTAAACCTCAAGAAAACGACTCATTAGGATCTCAGGGAGCTGTTAATTGCCCTGTCCAGCCGAGACACAGTGTGGCTGTGCCAGCCTGCTGCACAATAATGAAGTCTCTGGAAGCTCCAGACCCGAACTGGCTGCTGGGCTCCTCTCTTCGTTCTTTCACCAAAGACCCCGTGGCTCCCTGCTGTCCTGCTGCCCACAGACGCCCCCCTCGGGACCTGTCCCTGCGGCAATCATCTCCAAAAGATCACGCAGGGGTGTCAAGCCCAGCAAAGACTTGTTTAGCTGTGCTATCAACGTTTTCATCTCGAAGTTATGTTTACAAAGGGATAAAGATTAACGGAGAGTGATTTCGCACCCATCCTCGGAGAAGTATGAAAGTCCGAGAAATTCATCTCGTCTTGGATAAAACTGTGCTTTTTGGTTGTCACGGCAACAGTCCTCCTGTTCCTCAGCCTCCTGGTCCTACACTGGAATAGGGCAGTTGGAGTTTACAGGACAATGTAGAGGGAATGGGATGACTGTGTGCGGGGGAACTCGAAGGTTTACCTTCCAGTCTCAGTTTCAGAGCTAACTAACCACCCTTTTGGGCGTGAAAGTCACAGACTAATAGATCCAAACGTCTAGCAAGAACTAGTACAACTTCGCTAGTAAGGACATCCCAGGGGAAAGTGAAAGGGACCTTCAGCCTTTTCAAGAGGATTTGGCCTGTGAAACCGCTAGACTCTTGGTACATCCTGTAGATGAAGGGCGGTGTGTGTGTGTGTGTGTGTGTGTGTGTGTGTGTGTGTGTGTGTGTGTGCGCGCGCGCGCACACACACACCTCCTTCCCAGCGCACTGAGTAAACTGGATTAGAAGAAAGGCTGTCTGTTTACACTCAACCACTAGGGGGCAGCACGTAACCTATACTCAAGCGGGTGCCTGGGATTTCCAACCCAGTGGAGGTTATTCAGGGTGGCAGCTACTGAGCTATGAGAATAGTTGCCAGGTTGGGGAGTGCCTGTGTTTCCAACAGTGATGTCTCAACTGAGATTTACTGTGGTATGAACATGACTGTGTTACCGCTGTTATCTTGAGCGGCCTTGCCTCGTCTCTCTATGTGTTGGATTTCGTGATCATTCCAATGTTTTCTTCACGGTTTTGATGTTTTCCCTTCTGTGGCTCAGAGTTGGTTTTCCAGCAACTGAAATCAGGACCTCCCCCAACCTGAACCTTGATGAGCTAGTTAACCCACAGTCTGCTCTTTGTGACAAACACCATTTTTGAGGTCTTACCTAATCGCAAACATCTTTAAGAGGTCAAGTAGTAGTTTGGCATCAGCCTTAAACAAAGATTGCCAGAGAGAGGCTCCTTCGCCTGTGGATTCTGCTCTATAGGTCAACGTTGAGGAGGACTATAATGGTATATTATTTGTTTTTTAGTAAATAAATCTTGCCTGAAGACCAGAGACAAAGCTAAAACCACTAGCTGTCATGGTGACACATACCTTTAATCCCAGGTTTAGGAGACAGATGGATCTCTGTGAGTTAAGGTCACCCTGGGCTGCACAATATCAATGTCAAAACAAATCCAGGTGGTGGTGGCCTATACCTTTAATCTCAAGTCTAGGGAGTCATGCCTTTAATCCCAGCACTGGAGAGAATATAAAATGAGAGGAGAGGCTTAAACTGCTTAGTCTGTGGTCACCCAGTCTTGGTGGAGGTGAGACTTTTCTAGTGGCTTGGCTGTTTTGCTTTTCTGGTTTTCAGGTTAAACCCCAATTTCCGTCTCTGGGTTTTATTATTTGTGCTACAGAATGTTCTGAAATCAAACTTGTTAGGAATATCTCAGCCAGTAAAGGCGTCTGCTGCCAAGGCTAGTGACTTGAGTTCGATCCCTAGGACCTACATGGTGGGAGAGAAGTGGCTTCCTTGAGGTGTCCTCCGACCTCCAGCTGTGTAGTGTGGAATATGCGTGCATACACATACACACACAACTAGACAATTTATTTTTTTCATTTTATTTTTATGAGCGTGGTTGTTTTACCTGTACATATGTCTGTGTACCCTGAGCGTGTAGTGCTCATGGAGGCCAGAAAAGGGCCCCCAACCCCCCGGACCTGGAGTTACACCTGTGTTTTTACATAGGTGGGGGTACTCACTTGGCGGCTTAAGGCTCCACCTCCGCAGAAGGTAACTGACTTTCCTTGGCTATCATCTTCCCGTGGCCTCTCTGACAAACCAGATAAAGCCCGGGGCCTATAGGACTTGTCTGTCACTGTCCAGTAGCCAAAGAGTTGGGCCTGTGGTCAGCAGCCGAGCTGGCAGGCCCCCAGAAGTCACCCACACTGACACTTCCTCTCCACAGATGGTGAATCTACAGCTGGAAGAGGGGTTGAGGGACTTCCCACGGCCTCAAGGCAATTTAGCAACATCTTAGGGATTCACCAGACATAACGGCTCCTGGGCCCCTGTTCTTCCCATGTCGTCTCCTCTCATGCCCACACTTGGAATATCTCACTCATAAACTTCCCGAGGCTGCTATAACCAATGACCAAACCTTCGGTGTTTTGTAGTGATGCAAGTTTGTCTTCCCTTGCTGGGGGTCTACAGCTTGATATGAATTCCGCAGGGCTAAAAACTAGGTGTGAGGAGAGCCGAGGTCCTCTCAGAGGCTCTGAAACTCCCCTGAGATGGCACATAAATCTATTATTATTATTTGCATTATTCCCTGGGTAGGGTAACCCCAATTAAGTTTGTTCATATGACTACGAGTGTCTATGAAGCTCATAGAGTGGTAGATTTCCATATGTGTTTTTCAAACATTGTTGTTGTTGGTTATCACACACCTCGTGGTTTCCTCTGCCTTACCCTCTGCCATTCCTCTCCCCATTTAAACCTCTGTCCCAGTTGTTCCCCTTTCTCCCTCAGTGTCATCATTCTGCTATTTCCTCTTCCACCAAGCGTGTTTTCTTGCCTTCCCCACCAATGGTCCCTTTCTAGTTTCCTGACAAGTCAAGCCAGTCAGTGTCCGAGATGGAGGAGAAAGGACTTATGAGCTGCCCACTCCTAACTGAGGACCTGCTAATGGCTGATGGCTTCTGGGGGAAAGAGAGCTAGTTTTTATGAGGGTGTGGCCCCTGATAATCCACCATGCTTCAGTGATTGGCCCCACTCCAGTGAGTGTATGGGTAGCACAGATTTGACTCGGTGGATAATTTAAAACAAACAAACAAACAAACAAAAAGGACACAAACTTGGGAGAGGGTGGGAAAGGGGGAGTAGATTTGGGAGGCACTGGGGCAGGAATGGAGGTTAATATGATCCAAATGCATTATATAGATGTATAAAATTCTCAAAGTATGAATAAAATATTACATATTA